GTGTGTGTTTTCCAGCACTGAATGGAGTGACCCTCACTAGTTGAAAATCCAGCTTTAAGCTACAGACAGTCATGAGAGCAGACATGTTTTCTTCTTCCTGACAGATTAAACTAAAACTCACTTGTAGTAAGTAGAATCTTGAAGGAGAGTGTTCATCTCAACCCTTCAAAGTTAACTTTTATTATTTTTAAAAAAGCATTAACTAAATCTAAACCAGTTCACCATTTACCTCTGTATTAATAGATTAGACAACAGTTTCTTAGGCAAAGCCCAGATATTGCCCTGCTGTTCAAGTTAAAGATACTGAAACTGTTTTTTCATTTTAAATGTTATTGGAATTGAAAAGCTCAAAATAAGGTGCTTGCTTCTAGCTGTGTCAGCTCCTCCACCCTCAAAAAGCAAAATAAAACCTAGGATCCGTTCCTAGTACACATACTTTCTCTTTACTTTTTATTCAGAAATTAGTGCCTCTGTGGGAAAAAAAAAATCTGCTTTCTGAGCACTGTTATTTGCACATTGCTGCAGATATAATGGCAGAAAGATCGAAGCGATTACCTCTCTAAACTGCCTTTTCCACTCAAAAACTCCTTCTCTGGGCTGTGATCCCAACAGCTAGGAGAGCTGAATGATGTACGCAGAGAAACGTACTTTGTCCTTTCTTGGTTTTACAGTCTTGTATGTGAAATGGCTGAAAGCTGCTATCAAGTTCATTCTGACAAACTGTGCTATAAACCATAGTCATTAAAATCTCTCTCATTTAGTCATTCCTGCATTCGGTTTTAAAGAAGGTGAACATGTTTAATGCCATCTCAGATTAATCTGCTTCTGGACCTAAATCCTTATTCCCACTTAAGTAACTTACTTTCAAGCTTGATTTCATTCAAAATGCTAATAATCTCAATATTTTGTAGACAAAAATCTCAAATTAGCAGTAAGTAAGATTTGTAGATAGTTATATGGAAGGAATCACATTTTGCCTGATTTTTGCCTTATCGCTATGTTCAAACTACAACAGAAATGTAAATATTTCCTGAATGATGGATGTTGTGTAACATTACTTGCTTATTGCAACATACTACCTGTTCAGTAGTTGGATCGCAATGTCATCGCTTCAGCACTGCAAGATTTGGAAATGCAGTGATTTACGGGCCTCTTGCTGTATGGTATATAAAATAAGTCCATTCAAGTCCATTTGATATGGCTGCCCATTAGCTGTTGATGACCACAGTAATTCCATATGACTGTGAGATGATGTGAGAGCTTTGCCCGTTTTGTTGCTTACATAAATCTTTTGTGACATCTTAGACAACTCGGACATCTGTGTTTGTGTGTCTGTATTGACTAAATCAGACTGTCAACTAGGTAACTGTAGCACTGCTTCTCTGACCTCCTAATTTGAAATTCTAATATGATCTATTACAGTGAAAATGCATTGTTTTGCAAAATCCACGTATGATTCAAATAATTCCTTGCATTGAGATACCAAATAAGTAGAATTGTCTTTCCTTTTCCATCGCTGTGCCAAGGAGATACAACATACTTACCGAGTAGAGTAATAAAAAAGGAAATACTACCTTTGGTTTTGTGATCAGAAATCTGCTTAGGCTTTGTGAGATAACATCTGTTATTTTAATTGCTTGTTGTAAATGCTATAATGCCTGGAAATAGTTCCCTAATTTTTATTGCCTCACTAGTGGCTATTTTATGTAATACAGCCAATTTGCTTGAAGACTCTCTAACATACTGGAAGTGCATGTGTTGGAGGAGGGGGATTGTTCCCATAAAATGAGGGGATTCATGATTTGGTAAAGTACCATACATCATATTAGTCCTTTGTAAATAGCACAAACCCCTTCTGATCAGTGCAGTCAGCTGAGGATACACTCTCCAAATAAATGTTCCTATTTCTTCAGGGCCTTAAAGCAGATGGTGCAATTCTTTATTTAAAATTTGCAGGAGTCATAGATTTAAGTGTAGTCATGATAAAATTTGCCTTAAGAAAATGTGAGAATAGATTTCTCTCTCTCCCCCTCTGTCTGTCTCTGCTTCTTTTCCTCTGCGCAATAGTAAATATAACCTGAAAAAGCTCAGGATAGTAAAATTATATTTCTTTTACGCGTCTTGAATCGCAACTGTACAGTAAGCTTAGTTTTTATTTAGCTGAACTGAAGAAGGGGCATTTGTAAGACTTTCATCACTTTTCTTTCTTTTGCTCTTTTTAAACGAAAGAAGTGTCCTTTTTTAATTTTAAATCCATGCGTCTCTCAAGCATCTTCCTTTGTTAAAACATTCAGGGTCATCTTACTGCGCTCAAGGCTGCCACCAGTTCTCTATTACTATTCTTTACTCAAGGACAACCCAGAACACTTTCTCCTGCCTACATTTGCCATACAGGAAGTGGAAATATTAATGCTACTGTACAAAGGATTGGTTGGATTTAATCTGCAATAATGTGCACAATTATCACCAGCTCTGTTAAAATTAGAATGGAGCGGGTGCACAGAAAAGCTGATTTGCGTAAGAAGAGACTGAAAAGGTTGGCTTGATTAGCCTACGAAAACAAAGACTGAAAGAGGATACACTCTCTGTTTATAAACACATACGGAGTGTGAATAAATGCATCCTTGTCAAGGGCTAGAGGACAAGGTTGGCACAAAAACAAATGAGTTCAAATTGCCCATGAATAAATTGAGGGCAAAAGTTAGTAGAAGGTTTCTAATTACCAGAGACATCAGAGTCTGAAAAAACTCCTTCTTTGAGGAGAGAAGGAAAAAAAAACCTGAACTCTTTTAAAGAATAGTTTAAGGAAAAAATTCCAACAGGTTTGCCCATCATAGCACAAGAGAGGACAAGGGACCGGCAAGGTTTTATTCAAAGGCTACTTTCAGATGAACACATTTTTCCTAGGAGAGGGTTGATCCTTAGCTGATGCATTCAGCTTATTCCATTGTATTTCAGTTCAATTAACTCCACCATGAAGAAGGGCATAGAGCACGATTATGTTTTAAGCTCAAGCAGGTAGATCAGGTCATAAAACCACAGCTCAGTTCCAGGGGCTCACATAATTCTACATTTTAATATGGGTAATTGATTAATAATAGCATTAGCAGTTCATTTGAACCCTTACATTTTCCAATGGTGATGGCAGGTCAGGTGTGAAACGCCACCCTCTTTGGTACAGGTCAGTGACCAAGCTGCCAGCTCTTTTTTTCAGACAAGTGAGTGTCAATGGACAGACTGACTTAGCCCTGCTTTCTCCAAACTCTTGGGATTTTTTTCTCCGTGAAAGCTAGAAATTTATTTCTCCTTGTCTTATCGATTTTCTCTTTTTCATTATCTTCCCCAGAACTTAAGAAATCTAAGGGAGATATAATGGGGTATATATAATATATTATGCAGTTCAAGGTCTCCGTTTACTTGTCTTGGAGCTTCATCTAGTTATGCCTTCCCTTCAGCTACTCCTTTTTCAAAAGCGCTGAGAAAATCAGGAAGGGCACAGCACAAGCATGCTATGGTATGGACAATGGTAGCCCAGAGGCCCCAAGGGGGTTTGCAGCGGCCACCTATTCCCACTCTGCCCTCTGCTCACTGGTGCTGGCTTTTGGAGGAGTAAGAAACACTCTCCTCTCTGAGTATCATGAAGGATGTGATGAAAACGTGGCATACCCTGGAAAACAGGGCATGTCCAGTATGTCATAAATACTGAAATCATCTTCTTGGCCCGAAGTTAAGATGTTTCTATAAGAAAAGGTATTGCTGCCTTTGCTTAGTGCTTATTACAGGAGCATGTGACTAAATTCTTTCCCTCCATGTCTCTCGCTACTGGTGTGGTTGCTCTGTTGTGAATAGTAAGTCTCTGCCTAGGTTGCTTATCTTAAAATAATGACATGAAACTCAACAGCAGTGTATATTAGGTGTCCAGTATATAGTCTTGTGTCCCACTGGAGTCTGACTGATATGTCAATGTGATCCTCTTCCATTCCTGTTTCCTAATTTACCTGTAAAAAACTATTAATTTAAAATAGCATTTCTTTCCTTATTTATCTGTGTACTCAGATGAAACGTACATCTAATTTTATCCTTGTTTCATTTGAAATAGGACAGCATCCCCTTTATTCCAAGTTTGCACCAACAAAAGAAAGGTTTGGAACTATATATTCAACTTCTGATTTTTCAAAAGAAAACCCCACACAACCTAGCCTAAATTTATACAGGTGCCAACTCAGTTCAACTTGGCCAACTTTGTAATTTTTTTTGGCATTTGGTGTTGTATAACACATCATCTGCCATCCTTATATCATTATACTGGATTCTCCTTTGAAGTGCAAATGAAAATTGTTTCCTCTCATACAATAGTTGCTTTATATAGTTTTCTTAAGACAGATCCAAAATTCAAGAATGAGAGATGATATTGGAGAGTCATTATATAAAAGGCTCGTCACTCAATCAATGCCAAGTATTCAAAAAATGAAAAAGAAATATATAGCAAATGACTAAAGTTGAATTTGGGTTTGCATAGCATTGCTTTGTTGTTAACCTAAAATCTGAATTTATGATACAGTCAGTGGGATTCACAGCATTTAAAATAATAGCTGTCATTAATCTATTGATGTATATACCTCCTTGGCAGCCACACAAAAATCTCTTTGGTGTTTAGATTCTGTTATTAGTTTCCAGGTGATGTATAAAAATATGAAGTAGTAACTTAAAGGTTAAAATGAGAACACTCTAATTAAAATTCACCAAAAATCATGAATATATAAAAAATAAATACACTTTTGAGGCAGAAGATATAAATGTTTGAGCAGCTGAAAGTCAAAATCTCTTTTAAAGTATTATTTAGCAACATAACGTGGCCGTGCAGGTATCAGGGTTTATATTATTAGAACGAGTCTAATAGTCTTTGCTCTTACAGTTTGGGCACAGTGTATAATGAAACCAGGCAAACTTTTTAAAATCCTCTGAGAAAGGACATAGTTCAAAATCGAGATAATAAGTTTCTTGAGTTCTTCTTTCTGATTATATTGAAAATATTATTTAAAAAATTACATGTATTTTGCTAAAACAGCATTCACTTTTTTTTTACCTTGCAGCTAGTGAAATGGTACAGACTAAATGAAAAGACGGCATCTTAAGCTGAGAGAAACCATTATCTATGGTACATTAAGGATTAATCGACCAGAAATGCAAGATATTACACTGGATGCAGCTGATGCCATGTGTTATTTTTGTTAGCAGAGAAAATTCTGTATTTTATAAAGAACATTAATAACAGATGAATTCAAAAATGATGACAATCTGTGAAGAAGTGTAAAATACTTTTACTGTAGTCGAGAGAGTAGAAGTTAAAATTTACATAAGACATTCTTCTTTCAAGCTTTAAAGGAAATAAACAAATGCCAGTATGTCCAAAGAAATTACTTCCAAATAATGAAAGAATTTTAAATGAAGATTAAAAAAAAAAGGTAAAAATTGCTGGGATAGTTGTCTTAGTATTTAAAGGACAGCTTTTTAAAAAATCTTGACTTCCTTTTCACAAGAAAGATTTTGTAATTTGAGTTCAAGCCTATCTCCTGGTGTCTCTAAGTTCTTGATTATGGGTATACATCAGGAAGCTAGAGGCATAGCAATGCAGATGTGCTGTATCCTTTAAAAATGAAAAGCTATAAATACACAAACTAGAATCAGAAATAATCTAGAATTAGATTATTAGAATTAGAATTAGAATTTAATTCTAATTAGAATTAGAATCTAGTTAAAAAGATGGAGTAATTTTGTGGATTTCAATAAACTATGTCTGTATACAAGGGTATGTTAAATGCAGGCTGCTAATAGGAGTTCCTCAAGTGCCTCCCTTTCTGAGGAGACATCCACAAATTTAAACATCTAGAAAGTTTGGGGCATCAGCCTCTGTAATTAAGACAGGTTATGGACAAACAGTTCAGTAAAATGAAAAATAGATTCTAGTTAAAAAGATGGAGTAATTTTGTGGATTATTTCTCCTGCTTTACAGAAAAATACAGACACAGAATTTCCTTGAAAGCTACTAGCTGACCCTATTTGAGTCATCAGAAAAAAATTCCGTTAGACTAAACTTCAAGTTCTTACGTGAAGGTTGGAGTTAATTGCTGTTGCTTGTGAGCCCAAGGTCCTCTTGCTCCATGTTCCCCAAGGATATCATCATTCAGTGGTATAAAACATCGTGTTCCCAAGCTGCAGGAATTTATACTATGAGAAGAACTGTTTTTCTAGTTTTCCTAACTTGCCTTAAAGTTAATATTTTAAGCCTAATATTTCACATATTGATGTATTTACTTGGTTATCTTTTCCTTTAAAATGTGTGTCAGTAGAGCTGAGTGTTCAGCTATAAGCCTTCATAAGTACCCTACGGAGTAAAAAGTAGGTTTTAAATTAGGTCCTGCTATATGCAAGCACATACACACTTAGAATGCTCTAATACGTTTTCTTTGCCCTTTTGGTAAATGATGTTTGGGAACTTGCATGTTGTTTATAGGTTCTTGATATTCTGTTTCCAGGAAATGAACACTTAAGACCTGAATAATTGTCTGTACCTTCACAGCTCCTAAGTAATGCTACACTTCAAAATACATCATGCTATGATTTCCTACTGATTTACACATTATCTGCCAAGGATGCTGTGAAACATTTTAAGTAAAAGATCAAAGGTAGAAGAGAGGGAGAGGAAACCCAAAGTGAAACAACTGAGCCCAGTTACATCTACAAAGATTCGGTGAGGTTTGGGCACAGTACATCTTAAACTTTCGCAATTATTGTAAGGGTGCCACGTCGGTTGTTTTAGTGAGCATGTGTAAGTTCTTTTAGAGGCTATGGCACAGCTCAGCAATAGCTGTGTAGCAATCACATGTCTCTTGATCCTCTCCGTTTATTTTTTGTTTATAATCTGGTGGTAACGTTTCTGTATTTTAACTTTCATGCATATTCTCTCCCTTGCCATATCTTCCAGGAAATAAATGATGCGGATGTGCAGGAGCTGGTGAGAAGGTCAATTGGAAGGTTAACAATTATTCGACAGACATTTCCAGTCCCCCAAAACATAAGTCAGCGCTGTTTCCGTGGCAACCACAGAATATCTTCATCACTGTGTGATCCGAAGGACCCTTTCTCCCAAAGCATGGAGGTAGTTCATATACCAGTCTATTCCCACCTGGGAGCTGTCTTTCTAGATAAGTTCAAGGTTTTTCCCCAGGGGCTTAGTGTAATTTAATGTTTATTTTTCATGTTCTCTCTGACATGTAGCTTAATGGCTCATGACATGACAAGAAAATACTTGAGCAGGAGGATGAGTGTGACTGATGTACAAGAACAACTCACCTGCTTCGCAGCAATTGAGAAAAAAGTCCAAAAAAGCCACCTGATCTCCAGGTGGTGGGGTGGTAGTTTTGTTGCCCTGCTAAATTTTATTTTTTGTCATCTCATTGAGAAGAATTTCCTGCTCATAGACAACATCTCCTGAGTTACTGTGCCTTCTCTAAGCCTCAAATGCATTGTCAACAGGAAAGCCTTCCTGGGGAGCACCCATGTCATGTTTCAGGTGTCCTGGTGTATACACCTAAATCTATGCCTATATTCCAAAGAAGCCCAATTTTCAGAGCTGTTACTTGCAAATTACCATTAAACTATAAGAGCCTTCCTACTACATGAAATCAGCAACAGGACCATGAAGTTCTCCTGACTTCACATAGTTTTTCCAAGAGTAACTTGTCTATCTCTCTCATTTATCTGGTTAGGCTTCACCAAGACAAGGCTATGGCGAATCAGAAGTGCACAATAGGCTTAAGATGTCAATTTTATCTTTGGATTGTTTTGCATGGTCATTTATGAAGTTGTGGAAAGATGATTGCATTGGCAGCAGTGTAGGAGGAGTATATCTGACATAGCAGCAAAGACCAGGCATTTTGTGATGCTGAACAAAAGGAGTGAGAGAAGACAATGGGAGAGAAATAGGGAGGTGATGAAGAGTGTCTTTGCTTAAAATTAAAATAAGTAAGGGGGAAAGGAGGAGAAGTGTGGCTGGTCTTGCTCTGTTTCAGGTTGGCTGTAAGAGCCTGTGCCTCACTAATTGTTCACAAAGCAGCCAGTAAGCAACTATGAACAACACGGAAAACTTTGACTGTAGCACACCACATGGTGATCCTATTAGAGTTCTTAAAACAAACAGTGCTGTGTAAGGTCAATAGATGTATAGGATGTCTCTAGAGGCTGTTTAGGAACTGTGAAAATTCTTTGGTTGTGGTGTTCTGTTATGGCAGCATGGTCCTAGGGGGAGCTTTGGTAGTCTATAGATAATGTGTGAAAACTGGGGACGTGATTATGTGCAGTCACTAGAGATTGCAAAGAGCAGTTTTCCTGAACCAAGTTACTAACTACAGGAAGGCAGAAAACAAGAATCATGTATTCGATGGGAGACTGCAAGCTTTTATTTATTTTCCTCTCCAATTTCACTTTCATTTCATTTTCACTTCAACAATGAATTGACTCTAGGAATGAAGAGTTCTAGAAATCAAAGTTTATTCTCTACAAATTGGCAAATTCCATTTAATGTGTTAGATTGGACCTTATACCTTAACCTGTGCTTCTTGATCAACCTATAGCTTGGAGAGCTGTAATATTCCTATTGAAAGCTTTCATAATGTTTTTGTTCAAAAGAATGATGGAAGCTTTACTGGTTTAACTGTTCTGCAAAGTTGAGTTGCTTTTTTTCATGCTTTCCCTGGGATGGCTGCACTTCATTAGTAGCTGAGTGAGACGACACTGAAAAATGAAAGGAAGAAAAACTCTGATGCAGTTTCCCCTGTGTCTTTGTACAATGTACAGACCTTTGAGCAGCTGTGGGGTTTGTTTGCTGTTTCTTTGTTCTCCCCAACAATATTATAAATTAACTTCTATTCTAGTGGGGAGTTGGAACAGTTTATAAATTGAAATTTCTAATGCTTTTTTTTTTTTGCCATCGAAATGTGACTAATCAGAAATATTCTCTAGAAATTAAAAGGGTAGATTTCTCTATTTTTCTGAATCACTCTCCCTAAAGTCTATTTGAATAATTATTTTTTTCCAGAATCTTTATTAAAACATTTAAAATTATTTGTGTCTCATTGTGTCTCCAGGATTGTCCTAGTCGAAACAACAACTTCTATACTTCTGTACATTTAACAGGAAGTTAAAAACTGGATTTACAGAAGTATTTAGTACCATAAGCCTTTTGTCTAAAAACTATATGCAGTAGTCCAGGTATACATAAAATAAAGAGCGTTAATCTTGATTAATCACTCATACTTTATCTGATTGCTAAATATCTGTCTTCTACAATCTAGAACAAAAAGAATCACATCTGAATTTTGAATTACATCAACAAGATGTTACGCAGTTAGATACTGCTTGATAATGCAAGTGTCTAGCCTTTAGTTTAAGAGACTTAGAATAAGTAAAGGATCAGTAATGGGTACAAGGCAATGCATTAAATGTCCCAGTAAATTTAAGTGGGAAATGAATAAAAGCATAAAGTGACTTTAAATTACAGCCCCACTTTGAGCATCAGGACGGTTACTAATGAAGCATACTTCTGATAGTGATAGAGAAGGGTAATTTTGAGATTCAGAAATTAATCGTTGCGTCTTTGTCATTGCATTATCAGTGATTGATTGCTGTAAATGTTAAGCTGAACTATTAGTGAAGGAATAACAATGCTTAATAATAGCTGAACCCTGTACTCCTGAGCCCTGTTAATACTTGATGAAAGCCCTGCTATATTACTCTTAGATTAGTGAGTGCATCCTTCCTCATGAACTGTGACAATAGTCTTCTATTCCCACGACACTAGGTTACAGAAGCTACCTTGAAAGCAATGTCATTTTGTTGGGAAATGATAACTTGGCATCTGTAGCCCTTCATGTACCAATTTAGTCTCATTAGTGACCTTATTGTCTCTGCTCTCTAGAGTTGTTTCTTTTTCCTTTAGCAAAGGCTTATGTAAAATACGCTGCCTCACAGCAGAGTAGTGATTCCTTCTCTCCCTCTCAAACAAATGTCCCTGTGGTGCTGCCTTCTTTGGGGAAATATGGTTTTAGCTGAAATGTTTTGAATTCTTTGTACGTTTACAATACGCAGACCAATCATCCAAGTTATTTCAAAAATGCTTGATTAATGTGAACCCAGATCCTCGATCCATGCTTTTAATCCTGACATGCACAGTGATGCCTGACTTGTGCGTCTGCAGAAAGTAAATTAGTTGCTGGGTGAATACTGAAATGGAAATATTCACTGTCATTGGAGTCATGGGAGAAGCTCAAGTAAGAATAAAGAAGTATCTTCCAGAAAGAGGGAGTGAAGGATCATTGTCATTTAAAGAAAAAAGGAAATAAGGATCAGAAGTTCTGTGTTTATGATACTAGCGATGTAGAGTTGTAAAGGCAATAGAGGCTCCCAGGAGATTATCAGGAGGGAAAGCGGCAGACCATTAAATCTCCTTCAATAAAACGTGGAAGGCAAAATGCTGCAGGAAATTCTGGCAAGGTAAGGAGAAAGACGACCTCTTTCCTGGATGTTAGGCAGAGGAGGAGTTTGTCAACCTTCATGTGAGAACTGGACAGAGCAGCTTGCGGATGACACAGGCAAAACCAGCATAAAGATGGAGTTTACATGAGAAAATAAAAACATAAAAAGCAGATTATATGGAAAGGAGTAATTAGTCCTGAAGATAAACTTTTTTCTTTTTCTTTTTTTTTTTTTTTAATATCACCTGTGGATTTGCGAGGCAATATCTCAGATCTTCAGCACTATTGTGCTTCCTTGGAATACATTATCTCCCAGTAGCTGCAGGACTTTACCAGCATTTGGATATTTTTAAGAGGCAAAATAGAGGCATTCCCCACAAAGCTGGCATACTTTCCTACTGTAAGCTTCCTCCATTTTTAAGATTTTGAGCAAACCACCTGTATGGAGAAACCCTTACAGAGAACAGTCAACATATTCTCCATATTTGGGAAATATCTTTTGGCTTGTCTGTGACTGACAGAAAAAAAACAGCAACCTTACCTTTAAGAAATTACTGCTGGTTAATTTATTTTCAGGCACTAACAATGCTCTACAGCCTCCTTCATGGTGTAGTTGAGAAAACTGAGTTTACCTTAATAACTTCAGGCCCCATGCCTTCAAATAACCAATAGGTTATCTAAAAATAATATTTCCAAAGGTCCTTCTCATTTCTGAACATCATTTCGTTTCCCAAGAACCTGTGTTCAGGAGAGCTGAGGTTTCTCTTTATGATACTGTTAATAACTTAAATGTTCCTGCCATTCGAGGACAGAAATGACTGAAAGAAAGCCGTATTGTAAATTACTTGTTTCAGAAGTGTTCATGAATTCTGAGCTTCTCTTCTTTTACATTGAATTGTACCTTTCACATCTGACTTTGTACTGTGTGTATTTAAAAGTACATATAGAGCAATAGTACATGGGTAAGTGGAACTGGCACACAAGTAATTTATTTCTCTCTTCTCTCTCTTTGATGCTAAACTGGAACTTCCTCACGCTATATGCATGTAACTATGCTCACAGAGAAATACATACACATTTGCTCAGTAAGAGTTTTGTCCTGCAAGGAATTAACAGCCATTGCAAAATACTCTGACTAGAAACACTGTAAATTGCAGAATCAACATGCAACTGCACACTGAAGAAGATTTCATCAGGCCATATTTCATTCCAGAGACTGCCTCAATCAGAATTGATGGCAAAAATCAGGAACAAAAACTATGATGAAATGATTAATTTTTAATGTTCAGACTTTGTTTTTCAAAAGAACAAAACAATTGTGAAGGGAATTCGATGGTGTCCAAATATCTGGTGACTCAAAAATTGAAAGTTGCAGGCAACTGGTTAAAAATCAAAGAAAGTCTGTTTGTGTTCATGAGTAGGGCTTCAAATCCTGCATGTGGAGCTGTGCCACTGATTGGGCTGCCTGTACTTCACATGTGTGTAGTTTGTTGCTGCAAATCACTTGCAGCATGACAGCCCCTAGCTGCAGTTTTTACCAGAGCCAAAGATATGACTTTTTGACTCCTACAGTTTCTTCTTAATATCACATAGGTCATTTAATTGCCAGAGGATTATGAGTGAGGCAAAACAAATGATAAATTCTGGCTACTGGCAGGAGACCAAAAATAATAATGCTAATACTCCCCTTTCAATGTCTTTGCAGATCTCAAACCTGTATATATATGACACTGTCCTCCTGTTGGCGAATGCCTTTCATAAGAAGCTGGAGGACAGGAAATGGCACAGCATGGCTAGCCTCACCTGCATCAGGAAGAACTCTAAGCCCTGGCAAGGAGGACGATCCATGTTGGAAACCATCAAGAAGGTACCTTTTCCCTGTATTTCCTCTTCTTTGACTTCTAAAATACTTGCATTAGGCAGTGTTTCCTTCTGAGATGCATACTATTCTTGCCAGTACCAGCAGTGTCTTTTGTGAAAGTAATAGTTTTAGTCTTGGGTTTTTTGAGTTCTTTCCATGCCATAATGAGCATATTTGAAATGAAGTCAATGAGTTTGTTTACGGAAAATACCAAACTAGTAGAATTTTCAAATACGAATAATATTCTGTTGAAAAAGTGTCACAGGTTAGGAGATAAGGAGACAAATTTACTCTTTTATTTGTAAAAGAAAAATAATTTTGCAAAATTACACTTGGGTAATGATCCGTGGAATTTACTGTTGTGCTGCTATTGACATTAATATAGTGAAATAATAGAAATGAGAGTGAGGAAAAATCCAGCTCATCTAGTCTATATCCTGCCATTGCAGAACTGTTCCTTGTCTCTATAGTGCTTTAACCAATCTTAAGCTCTCTCTGCTTCTCTGTTATTGCGATTTTATACCTTAATCATGATCATGCCCAAGATACCTTTCCTGTTCTTCAGTCTTTAAAGACACTTTTTTCTTAATCATTCCCTTTCTTCATGTTGTTGACAGTCTCTGCATACTTAGAGAAAATTATCACAGTCTTCTGGGTCAGTATTTAGTTAAAATATTCATATGTTGGTATTCACCCTTCCCTGTAAGTTAACAGGTTTCAGTCTCCTTATATCTTTCATAAAACTGCCTTCTCATTTGTCTGCATGTACTTCCTGGTAATATATGCTTACATTTAAAGTTCTGGCAGTGCCTGCATTGTAAATACAAAAAAACCTCAGGAAATATTTTTTTTAAAAAGTGCTTTTTTATGGCTTTCATTTAAAGGACTTTAAAAAAATGTAAAATATAATGTTGTTTCAAGAAGTTGCTGTTCTACATCAGGTCTTTAACTACACCAGAAATTATGATGATGCAAGCAAAATGTAAGGCTTCTTTGAGCACTGCTTACTTGTTCCCCAGTCCCGGGTCAATCTGCATTAGCTCCAAAATAACGCTTCAAGGCTTTCTTTGGTGGCTATCCTCAATTTCCATTCTAATAGTTTGAAGTCATGAAACTGCTAGAATAATCCAGGACACGTTTCTTATTTCTGGGGCAGGATATGGCTTTAAGGGACTCTAAACTGTATTGCTCTTCATCTATCAGAGCAATTTCAAATTCACATTTGGCAGTGTCATGTCTTTTAAGTTATGTTTCAGTCAAGGCTGGTTTTGGAACTTTTCTTCTCAACTTACATTTTGTAAACACTGTTGCACTCTTTTTCATTAATAAACTAAAAGCTATTTCTGCTTACTCAAATCCAAATATGAAGCCTCAGCTGGAAAAATCAAAATATTCGCTTACACTTTAGAATTTGAATTTACTACCTGAGATGGGGTTTCAGACAAAGCCTGGTAGCCCTACTAACATCTCTAAATTTAAGAGTACTCTACCATGGAAAGGGCTGCTGACTGTTTTGCATCAAGATAATTTGCTTGCTTGTGGTGTTTGTGGATGTGAGACTGATCCTGTTCCCCTACATAGACATCCTTTATGCTGTTTCTTACTAGCATCTCGTCTCTTTGCGTCTCAAGCAGAGTTTATTCCACTCTTTGCCACATTGTCTCAGATATGCAGTTCATCTTCCTCCAATTCTCACCTCCTAAAATGATGAAATTAATGAAACAAACTTTTTCTCTGACCTTTCACAAAAGAGCTGCACTGTGTTGAAGATCAGTTTATGTAGTTCTTTACACTGAAACATGAAGAGAAACGGCCAGGAGAAATATGAAAACATTCAAGAAGGCAAGATCAAGTGGAAATGCCAGGATTATGGTTAGCTAGCTAGAAAATTAATCAAATGACAAGGAAATTCCTGACCTGTGCAGCTAACCGGGCTTGTGTCCTATTATTTTGGGGGTTTCTCTGTTATTTGAATGAGGTGGCTTTGATAAGAAGCCATTTTATTGGTGTCAATTGAATAATCGAAGTACTGCTTATACTGCATTGTGCTGACAGAGATGAGTTTCTAGAAATGACATGCTAAAATTGAAAGTCAAAATTTCATTTAAAATGAAATACAGAAATTTCCTGTGTGTGTCTGTACCATTTCAATCCCTAGGCAGAGGAAAGGGAAAGATTGTAACTGAAAGGTGGAATTTTCCACAAGAAAGAGGAATTCTACTTTAGTTTTGCTGTCTGCTTCCCCTTTTATTTCACTGAAGCACTTATGCAGAACTTCAGGATCACAGTTCAGTACTTTTGAAATTAAAAAGTTGACATTGTTGAATGTCAGATGAGGTACCAGAAAAACAAAAAAAAATAAAAGTAATGAAAGGAAAAATAAAAAAAAATTTGTCTTCTTCAGAATGCTTCTATTTTCCTTTTTTTTTCTTTAAACATCTTCTCTCTTGTCATCTTGGAACGTCCTCTAAAACCAACTGAAATAAAAACATTTCCCTCAAAAACGTACCAGTTTTCCTTAATCTTGAAACAAAGCAGGAAAAAGTTACAATCTGATGTTTAAATAATTTGTTAGTAAAACATTCTGTGTTTTCATTTTGAAATCACCACTGTTTCAAAGATGTAGTATATAATGGAATATTGTTGTAGTTCGGGGTGAAGATACATTCCGACATTTCTTAAATGCTCCTAGGAAAAGAACCTCCTCTATTCTCTGCATAATTTGAACTCTACCTTCATAACGACCTGTACTGCAGAGCTGGAATTACTGTCTTGTCCCAGATTGTCCCTCACCTCAATGTAATTGCAGTGAGTTGCATTGTAGCCAAGTATGGTTGTGGTGGGGAA